AAACGTGTTTTTTTTCTTAGGTGTTTTGAACAGTTTAAAACAAAAAAAAAAACACTAAAAGCAAAAAAAACATGTTTTTATGTTTTGTTTTTTTGAAAACATGTTTTTTTTTCAACCCTGCTTTTTAGGCTTTAATCTATTAATACTCGTTAGGACTCTTTCTTTTGTGATTACTGAAAAACGAAAAGTTCCCTGATATTCCTTTGTGTTACATTGTAACATTTTCAATTTCTTGGCTAATAAGCTACCTTGTTTTGCTTTAGTAGATATGATTCCATATAGAACTACAATGAAATAAATGAATAAACAACTATCTTTTTTGTGCCCAGATTTTGTTACTTTGATTACTGCCTTCTACTGAAAGTTTTTTTTGTGCAGGTTTGCAAGTTTTGTTAATTGATCTGGGAAGGTTTGATTCAGTACGGCAGGGCCAGCTGTTATTGATTAGAATCTTAGGAAAAGGAGTTAGTACCATCACCATCTCTGTTTTCAAATCCAATCAATAATCTGAGGTTATGATAATAATTGTTGTTTTTTTGTACTCTTTGACTTTTCATTTCCATCATGTCATTGAACAGCTGTTTTGTCTAGGCGTTTTCTTTAGACCTGTTCTACCTTTTGATATATGTTCTATAAGCACTTTTCAACATTCACCAGTATTCTCAGTTCGTGCTTTTGGGGTGAAACTGAACACGTCCTTTTCTATAATTTTCTTCAATGTCAAAATTAGAAGTTTTACAGATGAAAGTCTTCTTCCGAAATCTAAATTCTAAATGAAGAATCTGCCCTTTTTGATCTGCGACCTCACGCTGAGTAGTCGTCCGGTCTCGGGCCTCGGCCCTAATTATTTTTGGGGCGAGACTTTTTGGAATTTTGTGCCAGGGAGCTCAAGTAGACTAATTTCTTGCTGATAATTGTCTAGAGTCGTCCCTTGGTCATTTTTGGATTCTGTTTCGGACTGTTCCGAGCAGCATTTGGAAGTTTAAGACTTCGCCTTTGGTCTAGAGTATCCCTCAATTTGAGGGTCCTAGTCTCAGGCTATAGTTGGACAATCCTAGTCTCAGGCTATAGTTGGACAATCCTAGTCTCAGACTATAGTTGGACAGTTGCTAAGCTGTATTTAGAGAGATTCTAGACTGGATCTGGATTGCTCTCAGTTTGGGTTTTGGTAGCCATTCTTCAGCAACTCTCTTGGTACCGCTCTGCTAGAACCACATTGAGTTCTACGTAAAGCAGATACCACGTGGATAGGACTCATGACTATGACTCACTTACCATACCATAGTCTATCTACAGTGAAACCGAATCTGTAGATAATATCCCTTCAAAACTTCTGGATTTACACACACCTTTGAAGATAATCAACACTTGTACACATGTAAGTTGCACTTTTTACTATTTAGGCAAATCTTATATAAATCACTTGATACTGATTTACGTTCGGTAAGTGCCCCTTAAATAAAATTCTAGAGCTTTACCCTGAGGTTGCCCTGACAATAACTTTTCATCTTTCTGTGTTTAATTTGCCTGTTGGTAAAGTGTAACCCATACTGTATTTTTCTTATCACTCACAAGTGTAAATACCAAAAGGTTTTTAGTCATGTTCACTTAAAATCAATATTTTTATACATTATTTACATTCTTATTTTTTTTTATAATCAAATATTTATAAATTGGTACAAGCATTATTCTAGACACATTTTTAATAACCTCCTGGCTATCCCTATATTTTGTTATTATTTTTAATAAAGAAGCCAGATACATTATTGTACCTAATTAGTTGTTTTATTGATAAGCTCTCCAATTGCACAGGTTTTGTTTATAACATCATTAGGTTATCTTCCTAGTTAAGTCACAATTAACTTGGTGGCGCCCAAAGGTAAGATGTATACAAGGAACCCATAGACCCATGGCCTCCGGACTGATGCTGACTAGCCGTTTGCAGTATAATTAGGCAATTGCCAAAATAAGTACGTTATAACATGGATTAGATTTTTGGAAAACAGAGCAGAAGTATTGTGCGAAGGCATCTGCCATACCCTGTGAATCATCAATTGTTTGATTCTTATAACACATTTCCAAAGGTATCCCATTCCGTTTCCTACGAGAATTTACAAAGCCCCAAAAACTAATGGGATCTCTTTGCACATTGTTTTCAACATTTTCGTGATACAATTCAAAATCTTTTTTGGTATTATACTTGATACTGTTTCTTAAATTTTTATATTCATTTACTATGACAGGACTTGCTTTACCTTTTCTAATTCTTTTATCCAATTGATTCTATCGCTGGATTTTTTTGATTAGATCCAATGAGAAGAAAACTGGATATTTCCGTGACTTTGTTGGTTTTTCATAACTTATTTTTTTTGGGATTGCTTGATTTATACAAGAATAAAGCTTATCATAAAATATATCAACACAGTTATTGATATCACTGCAGCTTGACAATTCCAGCCAGTCAGTGTCCCTTAAAAGTTGGTACAAGAGGGCAAAGTCACCCTTTGAATAGTCATAAATAAATGAGGGGCTTATACAGTGGCGTAGCTAGGCGTCGGCGACCGCCGACGGCCTCGCGCCCTAGGAGGCCTCGCAAAAAATAAGTTACCGAACCTGAAAATTAGCACTTTTCAATTTCCCAAAATGAAACGTAGAATAAACTTAATCATATATGAAACTTCTTTTGATATCGTAGAATTCGTGCAGTATTTCGCTGTATTGTACATTCTACAGTAATTTTTAAAGTTTGTCCAGCATTTGATTTCGTTCAGCAAACCTGCTAACATACAGAGATTCGGAAATTATTTAGATTACCTAAAAAATTGCCTGATTTCTACCAAAAATTGTCGGTCCCTGTTTCTGTAATACTGTAATAAATGAGAAATTTATTTTTTGTTGGAAGGATTTGTTAGTGGAAAAATATTGATATTTTTGACTAAATATTGTTATCGAATACCGTTGATAGGCCTCAAAAAATTCTCGCCTTCGGTGGTTATCCTTCGGAGGGCTTGCCAGTGACTACCCGTCCCTGACGTTATATCCAGCTTTTTCACAAGAAATATGGCCACCCTGCAGTGGCGGATCTATGGCACCAACCATTCTGGGGGGGGGGGGTAGAGCTTCTCAACCAGTGGCGGCTCGTGGTCTATACCTTCTTGTGAACTAGTGAATTTATTATTACTTATATTATCAATAATCCTAATGTGCGCTACATTTTATCTTCTACAATTTCCACCATCTGTGTAATTGAGTCCCAAGTTTTATTATAACAATACTTATGCTGTTAGGGTTTAAAGAAGATGCCGGCTAGAATTAATATATAACCAATGTCCTGTTCACACCAATTTCTCAAGTCGTTCTCCCTGAATCACCCCTCCGGCCGTAGCTACCATAACTCCAAAATCTTAAATGGAACTATGGGTCATGTGATACCTTGTTTTAAAGGTCTTTTAATTCTCTTGATGGATCTACAAAAAAACATTATCCAGACTTGAATGTGACTCTCATTTTGATGAAAATCTTATTTGATCGGGTGGAACAGGTAAATGTGATTTAAAATCGATTTCTTCGATTTTATGCAAATTGAATAACAGCATGAATATTTTTGAAGAAATCATCAAGATTTTATTTTTTTGAACTTCTTTCCCCTCACTGTACCTGATAGTGTTCACCTCCTCAAGGGAGCAAAGTTGTTAACTCGAAGCATGCGCCATTTTGTGATAATTTAAATTTGTATCTAGATAATTTTCTTATGCAGATTCGTATAGAGAATTAAAAAACCTTTCAAAAAAGGTATCACATGATCCATGGTGCCATTTAAGATTTTGAGGTTAGGGTAGCTAAGGCCGGAGGGGTGATTCAGGGAAACCTTAATAGTACCTTGTTTTGGTTCCACCATCCAACCCTCCAAACGGGGTTTTCATTTTTTTATGTCATACCAATACATTATTGTGTTTTTATACCCTAGATACCATCTACATAATTCATTACTTTATGCCCGTGCGGGCATAAAGACGCAAAAATCAGTTTACAATTAACTTATTTTTTATTACCAAAATATAAATTTACGCTTATAAACATATTATTTTTGTCAAAAAATGATGATTCTGCACACTGATGATAATTTGCGAAGTGACACTTTTTTCCCAGGTATTTATTATTCACAACCAACTGGTATGACATAAAAGTTTGTATGCACCACGGGTACTAGTAGATATATATACCCTCGCGCGACTTACGAACCCTCGGGCCAGAGGCCCTCGGCTTTGTAAGACTGTCGCCCTCAGGGCATAATCATCTACTTAGTACCCTTGATACATAAATAACTATTATCGATTACCGTTTTCAAGATATAGGCCATTGAAAGTTCTCGGTGGGACACCCGGTATAAAAACTAAGTCAAATACAGCCCATGGGAAGTACTCTGGCCGCCAAAGACATACTACCTTCCCAGGCCTTTTTTATAATACAGATGGCGAGAATTACAACCCCTAGGCTAATTTTGGGCTTATGATTGTACAAACGTTTCGTAACATTTTGGTCCAAACTTGCCTTTCTTGGTGGAGGATAGATGAAGACAAGGTATTCAGATTTCGAGCTTCACTCTGAACAGTCGGGTTGCCTCTCAATATTCTTAACTAAGTGTCCCCTCTCAACGAGAATTTTAATAAATGAAACATTTTTATACAATACCGAGTTTTAATTATCGAAGTACGAGATTGGAGCGCGCGGAAAACTCCAGGTACTCAACATTCGTGGCATCGGTCAACTCCCGATTCCCAACAACCTGAAGGGGTTCACACCCACAGTAGGACCCAGTAGGCGATGCCTACCGTAGTTGCGGCCGGAAGCAGAATTTTTTTCGGGTGCCACGCTCAAAACGTATTTCAAGCCTCCAAAAAAATAATTTGTGTGTTTTTTTAATAATTAAAATTTTCTTGGGCCTCTCTGGGGGGGGGGGGGTAATTTTCCCAATTACACCCCCTCCCCCCCTCGTGGATCCGCCACTGCCACCCTACATAAAAAGGGCCTCGCAATTCGTATGTCGCCGACGGCCTCGTTTGGTTTAGCTACGCCACTGGGCTTATAAGGTTATTTTGCTTGTCCATACGAGCAAGACTAACAGTTATGTCAAGTGAGGGATGATACAAAATCCTCAGGTACCATAGGGCTGTTACACTTTCCAAGTTCTATGGAGTGAATATTTGAAAGCACCAAATCCAGTTTTCTTTGCATATGGTTACAGATTGTATTACATTGCTTAAGATCATACAGGGATAAAAAATCATTTATTAAAATACTTTTTTCACACTCACCAATGACATAGGTTGGTACATTAAAATCTCCTACAATGAGAACATCCACATTTTTATCCAAAATGTTTTCAAAGACATTTAAAAATTGCACATAACTTTCTAAACATGTATAAGGAGAAATATAAACGGAACATAGGTAGAAAATATTCTTATTAGACTTTACTTTTACCAGTAAGCACTCGATATCACAGTTTACAGGTATGTTTTCAACAATATATTTTTTCTTTATTGCAATTGCTACACCTCCACCCCTTAATTGGCCATTATCCCTGTCTTTTCTGACAATGTGGTATCTGTCATCAAACACTTCGGCATCTCCAATGCCGTCCATGAGCCATGATTCCGTTATAGCTAGTATGTCATAATCCTCAGCCAAGACGCTAGTATAGAAATCGTCTACTTTTGTTCGAAGGCCTCTAACATTTTGAGTAAATCCTCAACTCTGATCTATTTCCTTGATTTCTTTTTATGAGTGTGTCATTTTTATTTGTTTTTGTTTTTATAATGTCTGAGGATCTGCTTGAAGTGGCAGCATCCTCCTCCTGGTAAAAAAATTAGAGACAACAGCACCATTGGGCCAGACTTCACGTTTCCATGCATTTTTTAGGTCTTCCTGTCTTATAGTGGCCTTCTTTGAGGTGTAGAGATTGGGATGCCTAGACTCATGCTTTTCGCACTGAACTCCAGGTAAGTTTGCGTCCAAGTATGCTGTTAGCTGTTCAGGTTGTATTCCCGGAACAAGCCTAGTCACATGCATTGATGTATACTTGGGTACTGTCTGCATACTATTTCCTTCCTCGTTTCGTCCAACAACAAACCTTCGTGTTCTACGTCTACCTTGTTGCCATCCATTATTGTCTTCTTCAGCACCCGGGGCATGGTTACCAAGACTATGGATTTCTTGCATTTTATTTAGAGTTTGCGCCTGCATGATAGCCGTGTTTACCAGTTGTGGGGTAATTTTATTGTCTTTGTTCACCTCCACTGCTGATGTTCTAATTTTGAGGTTATGATTTGTGGGCTTGTTTTGGTTTCCAATTTGGTTTTGTTTTTGTAATGTTGAGGCTTGCAATCCACTGTATCCAGATGATACTTTGTTAGCAACTGTTGCATTAGCATTTTTTCCTCCCACTGCCGCTGAGGACGCATATGATGTCGACGGGGATTTTTCGCACCTCTGCACGATAGTTTGGCTATTTTTTCTTCAAGTAACTTTATATTACTGTATAAAAGACCTTCCTTAGCTTTTAATTCAAGGACTATCTCATCTCTACCTTTTATTATCTCTTTATTGGCTTCTAAAAGCATTTGCACATTTTCACTCATAACCTCATCTTGTTTCACACAACATTTCACCAAATTATTTCGCCCAACTGCAACCAATCCGGCTACCCTTTAGGCACATGATGTATGGAACACCTCATCACACTTTACACATTTTGCACCAACACTAACCACATCTTTTTTACAATATTTGCAACTTTTTGGCGACACATTTTTATTTCCATCATCATCGCCCACCATCATGTAATATTAGAGGTAATATTAGAGGTCTTATGGCGTTGAAATTTTAATTATCTTTAGATTTTAAATTTTATTGTCAAGTACTTGATGACCACCATTTGTTAAATTGAACACAAAGAACAACTTCTAAATTGAGTTAATCAATTATGGATAATGTTAATTTGGGTTATGAATTTGTTAAATAAGGCAATCCATAAAATTTCCAAAAAAAAAATGGAAAAAAGATATTATAGAAACATGGTTTCTCTAACAATATCACCACGAAAGCAAATCACTAATCACTATAACTCAAATAATTCCTCAACTATAATCGAAAAGGAGATACTTCTTCAAGCAATGAGGAATATCGAATCCGTTAGCAGAATGCAGAAGTTTCGATCCAATGAGCTTCCTCATGTACAGTCTGATTTGTTTTTTTAACGTCAGAGGATACTTGGACAGCTCTAGAAGCTTCGTTTTTTGTTTGGGTGACATGACTTGATTTCGTCTGATCAAGCAAGGATCGAAAGCTTCGCATGCTTCAAGTAGTATAAAGAAGATGTTTTCGTTGGAAGCTACATTTTTGAGGTAGTTCAGCATGCCGTCTGGATCACGAAATTGAGTTTTCATTATAACCTAGAAAGGAATAGATAGATAGATAGACATGGAGCATTTCAGTTCGTTTTTTTGAAAGTCTCTGACACTACTTCCAAAAAATGACAATTTTAGACTAGATAGGTATTGTACACTTAAAACAAATCTAAAGATCTTTCTCGAAATGTACTCTTATTGGTGGATATGATCAATACCTATGAAAAATATCAAAATTAAAATTTCGAATAAGCTATTACATTCTTGATGAAAAAAGCTCATGTACCTAATTGAAAATATTTCTTTAACCCTACAAACTAACCCTGGATCCATATGTAATGAGCATTTTGACTATAGCCATGTTGAGACGTTCGTTACTAGCAATGTATTCAACCAAAACCGGCCTCAATTGGGAACTATAATCAAAATCATCTGTGAAAACTTTCAAATTTGGATCCGCTCCAGCCTCCAACAACAACTAGAAAAAAGTTCTCAATAACAATTATTCACAAAAGAACTCTGGTAAAATTGTAATTACTGTTAAGATATCATATCTATTAGGAATCCCTTCAGCACAAGCTACGTGAAGAGGAGATCCAATGATAGGAGAACTGCAATTCACATCTGCACCTAAAAAAAATCTTGTACAATTTTGAATTTTAACTGAGCCAAAATTCTTACCTGATCTTATTAGCAATTCCACGATATTTGGATCACCTTTAAGTATAGCCAAATCCAAAGGGCTCGGTTTTTTCAAGTCGAAATCTTTGTCATAGTTCGGTTTAGCTCCCTGTTTAATCATCAAATCAATTATGTTAATGTTTCCTGAAACAACTGCGTAATGTAGGACCGTTCTGTAATCATGTCTTTGATCGGTAATAGCGTTTACATCAGCTCCATGCTTTAGAAGAAGTACGATAACTTCCATATTCTAAAATAATTATTTTAATTAATAATTATTTTATTTTTTCCAATAAAAATACTAACATTACGTTGTTTTACAGCCTTCATAAGAGGATTAAGTCCTGAACGATCCTTGCTATCGGGATTAGCTCCAAAAGTAAGTAGAAGTTCCAAGAATTCCAAATCGCTTACTAAATTAATTTCGGAACCGAAAAAATAACGTTTATTAGGGTCAGCGCCGTGTTCTAGAACATATATTTTTCTGAATTATTGTACTGTACTATTTTCCTCTTTCTTATACCTAGTAATAGTCTAGCGATATCCTTATGCTTATTTCTAATGGCCAGTCTCAAGGGTTCATCACAAAGGGTATTTTCGGGAAATTCTTCTGACGTATCCGGACGATAGTCCACTTGAGCTCCGGATTTGAGAAGAAGACGTACAAAAGCAGTATCACTGAAAAAAAAAATTATATTATTATAACAGCTTAATTTGGCGTTAAGTATCATATTTATTAGTGCCCCAGTGATGTAACCACTTTATTAACTAATCCATTTTTGTTTAAAATGATATAATTATTAGCAAGACATTAAAAAATTTAAAATTTTACTTGTGTGACATAGTCAAAGAAGTTGTGATTTTATACTTAGGAATAATCTCGTCCAAAAATTCAGAATTTTAATAAGGGAATCTATGTGAAGATACTTTGAAATATTTCTATTTTGTAACATTAACGCTTGTTCATTTTCTTATATTTTTTATTCGACTTACCCATGTTCAGCACCCAAGTGCAAAGGGCTATAGCCGCACTCGTCCGTGGTAGCATTCATGTCACTGCCACTGGTGAGCAATAATTATTTCGCTGTTTCCTAGTATTTTTGCCAGAGCACATAGTGGAATAGCATTAATCCTTGGAATACTGGCTTCTTACCTGTAGAAAAAAAGATCACAAATACCATAAAACAGGATGGTACCTTTGATTGTTATGAATGTCCCGAAAATATTAGGTTTCTAGCGAAATGCCAAATGGTTCAGACCATGTTGTAATATGTATAATTATAATATATATGAATAAAATCATTGGAATGGAAGCTAGAAAATCTAAGTGAAGAAATCATTAAGGATATTTTGCAGCAAAATAAGGACAAAAGATAACTTTATCCACTGACTCCAGAGAAGAGTCTGACTTTAAACTGTCAGCCGTTCCAGCTGATAAGCAGGCATAGGGATATTTCGAATGAGTAGGAACAAGGAATTGCTGGCACAGATTTAAGACCTGCAAAATCAAAGTGAGAGTTTCAAGAAACAAACAAATAATCTGCACCAAAATAAAATCGAGGCGATCGATTGGCGATGCGAATTTTACCACTACTTTGTTGCTAACCCACCATCTTATGTTCCTTTCACAGCTTAAAAATGTATGATTGTGATTTTCCTACTTTCTTTGAAAGAACATTTTTTCCAGCCTTCCGACAGGCATAGTTTTTGATACAACAAACACACATTAAGGTGTATAAAATAGACCATCTTCAATTTTGTTCTTGCTTGACTAAAATCGAAAATTTCACGCTTTGGGATTTCCTTAGAAGTTTATTTATTTAAAAAGTCAAAAAGAATTCCTGGAAGATTATATTTCTGTACTAAACCCACTAAACCTCTCAATGAAGACAAGGAGATATTTTAGGATGGAACAGAAGGTGTGATTAAAAGAAATGAAATAACCTGTTAAACATAACATAACAATGACAACGGAAACGTTGTGGATTAAAATAAACTCAAAACAAACAAAGAAATTAAATATTCACCAGACAATAGAAATAGTCCATTCACAAAACTGTTATACGATCGAGGGTATAATATGGCAATGGAGCCTACTAAGACGCTACTTTCACACTCAATTACAACTTGAAACGCTTGTTTCTGCTGTCAGGGAATTAAAGTGAACAATTTGAATTTAATTTACGTCGAGTCCTAAGATCGTCGGTCAAAAATTTGGAATTTGGCGCGCCTTCAAATAAATTCAACAATCGCTTATGAAACGCCAAAAATACTGCATTGAGTTTCGGAAGTGTGGCGACCTTCGAGATACTTATTATTAGTGTGAAAGTGTAGTTTGTGGACTTGGATCCAGATACCAGAAATGGCGGCAACTTTTTCAATCAGCTAATTTTTTTATCCCTTATCTCAGCCGTGATGTTTAATAGCTATATTATTGTCACAAATTCCGAGTCCACTAAATTGAACTCACTTTACAAAACAGTTACAACTTTTATTGAAACTGTATTGTCGGACCTGGGGTTATGAGGGGGTCAGAATCAAAACTAGAGCCAAGTACAAAAATAGGAAAGTGTATTTAAAATAAAGCTTATATACCACAAATACATTTCAGATATGGGCATGGGCACTAATAATTATCAAAGGACTAAAAGGCGCCATTATTACTGACTAACTAAAGTCTGTTTTTTTTTTTAAGATAATTCCCCAAGTCAAAAATTTAGTAACAAGGTTGGCAACACAAGCCTTTTAGTTGGGGAGCTGGCGTCAAAAACATGCAAGAGTTTTCGCAAGGCGGATATTTACAAAATAGGTCGTACTTTAGTGCTAGAATGCTAGTGTACAGTCAGCACTCACAGTTCCGGGACAGGTGGCTCTGGGACGCGGGCAAAGTTGTAATTTTGAGAAGCATCTAAACTGTTTTCTCAAAGCTAAAAATTTATATAAATTTTGCACATTATCTGTTTGAAGGTCACAGATAACGTATGTAAATCGTCAGACGTCTAGTTCGTTGCAAAAAGGGGGTCAGACATCCTCAAAGTTTTTATTTTATGGCATTTTCTTCGGTGTCCTGTCAAAATATATTTTTGCAGGTATTTGACAAATATATTTGAAGAAAATGCCATCACAATGCCATAAAATAAAAACTCTGAGGACGTCTGACCCCCTTTTTGCAACGAACTAGACGTCTGACGATTTACATACGTTATCTGTGACCTTCAAACAGATAATGTGCAAAATTTCTATAAATTTTGAGCTTTGAGAAAACAGTTTAGATGCTTCTTAAAATTACAACTTTGCCCGCGTCCCAGAGCCAGCTGTCCCGGAACTGTGAGTGCTGACTGTACACTAGCATTCTAGCACTAAAGTACGACCTATTTTGAAAATATCCACCTTGCGAAAACTCTTGCATGTTTTTGGCGCCACCTCCTGGACTATTTTCTACATAAAAAATTTGGAAGCATTGACAATTTTACTTTGTATTGCCAACATGTCATTTTGACTTTTATCTTTAAAAAAAAAACAGGCTTTAACACGGTTAATTCTCGGTGTGTAGACTGTAGACTACCCTCTCATCTTCCAAAAACCATTATTTTATATTAATACCGCGACCCTGGTGCGTGATCGCTGATTATAACAATACCGGTGAAACGTCGTTGACATTGACCTTCCATGGGTTCAGGTTCCTCATATAATTTATTAACTCATTCAACTTGCAATTGAATGGTATTCAAACGTGACGTGATCAATAATTTCCCTGAAACCCATGAAATTTTTTTGGAAGACAATTGGGTTTAATTAACCGAAGTGAGATGCCCTATTATCCTAGATACGACAGTATTTTCAGTACCTATAAATTCAGTTATCACTTGTCGAAACATACCTACACAGCAAATCTTGTATATGTAAACTGACTACAACAACACTCTCATTTAAACTCACTTCTAGAAAGTTCCTATTTAGACTGATAGAAACTTACACGTTATTTGTAGTGGACATCGTAGGAACAGTCGTGAGCATAAAAAGTGGGACACCCGACTGACAGGTCTTGTCATTTTTCACTATTTAGGGTAAATCAGTCTTTTCTCTACAATGGATTTTCTGTTAAATATGACAATCCCTGTCATTGCCATAGGTATATATAGCTGATGAGCTCATTTTACAATAGGAAAAGACAGGTGTTCCACTTTTTATGCTCACGACTGTACTCTACATAAATCTTTCTAAAAAAACCCTGTCGAATTCCCTGATTAGTCGCGCGAGACGTAAACAACAGGATTCTTAGAATCCGGCCGGTCCCTTGAGGCAATTTCGTATCAGTGCGCCTCTCTCTCAAATCAGATGATCCCGATCTAACTCTACCAAGACGCATAAGCTTCTATTCTATACGTCTATATCTCTAATCAGATCCATATGATCATTCTATCCATTTATTTTCTTTTTTGCTTAACATCTCTATGGCTCTTGAATTTGGTTTTAAATCTGAAGTTCTGTGACATATTTCCGAATAGAACACGATGGATTGTTCTAGGGAAATCAGTTTGTGGTTGTTTTTCTTGATGTCGAAACCAAATCAGTAATGAAGAATGAAGGAAACTACATTATACGGAAAAGCCAGCTCCCACAGCAGGATCGGCACGTCTGTATCGACTGTAATATTCAGGGGAAAATTAACGAGACAATTGGTGTATTAATTTGAACTAGAAGGATAATCAGCAAGATAATTAGTAGATTGAGTTGAGATAATTAGTGGAAACCTTAGAGCAGGTAAAACGCTGTCCTACGGACATCAGGAGTAGGAACGCGCCATTCTGCTATCAAACAAAAAGTGAAGCCAGTTTTTAGCAGGTGTTTGTACACCAAATGACAGGTAAAGCATTGAATTAGCTATACCGCCATTATTTTGGATCTCAAAATACCTGGGAAAAAAACGGCTTCATTTTCCAACTCCATGCTCCTACTCCTCCCACCTAGGAAATTACCTACTCTAAGAAATTTAACATCGTAAAATAAGTTCATATACCTACGCTACGGGTAAGATTTTATTAGTCCCCTCTATATGAAAATTAGGCTTGGTATGGGAAATTTGACTTCGCCATTGGGCTTTAGGTTTTAGGTATATTTAGAAACTGTATTCCATAGTAAGTGCACATCATCAAAAGTCGAAAAATGGAGTAAGTTAATCAAATGTTGCTGGACAATTAAAAATAGACAACAAACAAGAAGGTGACGCCCGAAGGCAGAAAGAAAAACAAGAAGAATACGACCCGCTTGCAGCACATTTACTTAGATTTTTACTATAACAAAAAGATCGGAGATCGGAAGAAAAACAAAGAACAGCTTCAGGAAAATTTGAAATTTCAACGAATGGATTTGAAACGTAATTTTTCATGAAAACACCATCCTGGCAGGGCAAGACAATAAATTCAAGAAAGGAATCTAGATGTTTGGAACTGTTCGTGTGGAAGTTGGACCACATCATTCAAAATACTCGAATGTGTAGTTGCCGTACTATGGTTCTTGCAAAATTCTGTTTGTCTGTCAGGAAGTAGTTTATTGTTGGAGGCAATGTCATTCATACGTTCAATAATATAGTTTTCCAGAACTTTTGGAAGTTCCGGCCTAAGATCAGTGCAAACTTCCTGGGTGTCTATTCTCGAAACCGGGGAATACCGTTCTCATGAGAACGAAGGTTCTGTCTTAGTCGCCCCATATTCATATTTCCATAACACTAACAAAGACGGAGCAATCGTTCTCGTGAGAACGCCGTTCTCCGGTTTCGAGAATAGATACCCTGAACTCTCATGATAGAGATATGCCGGATAAAAGCATCTGAAGAGATATTCCACACATTCCACAGCCCACAGGATTATATTAGGTATTCTAAATACCATTTGGAGCACCAGCTCATCAGTAGGTAGGTATAGCTGATGCCAATTGAAAATAAATTTTCTTTCACTATAAGCGTCTCTCGATAATACTGCACGATAAGATTATCACAAAGATTAACACTGAACAGTGAAAACACGACAAAATTTATTTTCTCGACATTAAAAAAAGATGCTGTGTTTCACTTAGTTCTAGAAATGCAGTCCAGACTTTTTTTTAAATTGTTCTCAACTGCAATTTTATTATTCTTATTAGTTCCAGGTACAAGCGTTAAGTTGTATTTCTCAACTTCTTCATATTTTTCCAGATATCCGGGATTCGGAATTTTCTATTGACAGACATGAGCAATACCTACTCTTTGCTTTGCTCCTCACAATAAAATTTTCATTAAACCGCTCAGTTTTCTGACTGATACGCAATTGGGATTTAAAATAAACGTCTTGTAGCCACCATCAGGTGACTCCAATCAAACACACTTTCACAACCAACATCTTCATTTCAAACCTGGATAAGCGCTGTAACTTTTTATGCTAATTCCCACTTCTCCAAATATTTGGCCTCCGGAACTCGTATTAATTTACTCCATAAACGTTTAATTACGATCTAATCTGGGAGTAAATCAAAAGGTTAATATACAGCAATTCTACCCAGATATTGAGATAGTTAATTAAATAGGTAGGTGCGTCATAATGGCCTTACGTCATTTCTACCGAGATTTATTGAGATGCCATCAGAGAAAAAGACAACCCATTTATTCTTTAATTTTTTATTCGACAGTACAAATATACAAAGAACAAATTAAAGTGAGGATACAAATATACAAAACTACGGTACAAAAATTATAAATCTTAAAACAACAGAAATAATAATACCAATTTTAGAGGAATTATTTAGTTTCCTTTAGAGGTTCAAGTCTTGTAGCGTTGAAATTTTAATTTTCATCTAGGTTTTAAATTTTATTGTCAAGTACGTGATGACCACTATTCGTTAAATTAAACACAAATAACAACTTCTAAATTGAGTTAATCAATCATGGATAATGTTAGTTTGGATTAAGTAGTGTACTACCTACATAATAATTAATTTGTTAAATAAGGTTTTAATTATTTACTTGAACAATCCTTCAATTTTATTATGAATAAAATTTAATAAAGTAAGTAGTTATTCTATCAGTATGTTAGAAATGTGTATAAGCATATAATTTGTTTATCGAGTTATGCTTGTGTTAAAAATTAAAAAAAAAAAATGTTAATACGAACCTGCTTAAGCTTGAACCTATTCTGCACATAACAAAAATAATTTATTAATATGATTATGCCAGGAAATACAACTTGAATTATTGTGAGTTTTTAGAGATCAGCATTTATCGAACTTTATGCCAAATAATGCAAAATTATAAATGAAACATAAAACATATAGCACAGCGCTACCATATTATTTTTCATTAATGCATTGCAAGCAATTTGAAATGGGTTAATTTTATACACCATAATATTATTATCATTAAATCTATGTTAGATCGAGAAGTTGAAAAATGTATAATTGGTACGTAATAAATGTTGATATTTATAATTAAAAAACTAATAAGTATTAGTAAAAACACGTAGGTAATAAACAATGTTTAGTTAAATCCGTTATTCTCACACAAAAAAAAAAAACGTGGCCATCAATCCATAAAATTTCCAAAAAAATGGACAAAAATATATTATAGAAACATGGTTTCTCTACTTAAGAGCAGTACAGGCGATAAAACCTGCCACCCGAAAAACAATATCACCACGAAGACAAATCACTATAACTTAAATAATTCCTCAACTATAATCGAAAAGGAGATACTTCTTCAAGCAATGAGGAATATCGAAACCGTTAGCAGAATGCAAAAGTTTCGACCCAATAAGTTTCCTCATGTACAATCTGATTTGTTTTTTTAACGTCAGAGGATACTTGGATAGCTCCAGAAGTTTCGTTTTTTGTTTGGGTGACACGACTTGGTTCCGTCTGATCATGCAAGGATCGAAAGCTTCGCATGCTTCAAGTAGTATAAAGAAGATGTTTTCGTTGGAAGCTACATTTTGGAGGTAGTTTAGCATGCCGTCTGGATCACGAAATTGAGTTTTCATCACAACCTGGAAAGGAATAGATGGATGAATAGTCATGGAACATTCAATTTCGTCTATAGTCCGTCTTTTTGAAAGTCTCTGACACTCAAGAAACATCATAATTTGAGACTAAATAAAATCTAAAGGTATCTTTTTCGAAATGTAGGTACTCTTATCAGATATGATCAATATGAATAAAATCGAAATTAAAATTTTAAATAAACTATTACATTCTTGATGCAGAAAGCTCATGTTATTGAGAATATTTCTTTAACCCTACAAGCTTACCCTGGATCCATATCTAATGAGCATTTTGACTACAGCCACGTTGGGACGTTCGTTACTAGCAATGTATTCAACCAAAACCGGCCTCAATTGGGAACTATGATCAAAATCATCTGTGAAAACTTTCAAATTTGGATCAGCTCCAGCCTCCAACAACATCTAAAAAAAAGTTTTCAATAACAATTTTTTATTTAGAACTCTGGTAAATTGTAATTACTGTTAGGATATCATATCTATTAGGAATCCCTTCAGCACAAGCTACGTGAAGAGGAGATCCAATGATAGGAGAACTGCAATTCACATTTGCACCTAAAAAAAATCTCTTGCAATTTCAAATTCTAACCGAGACAAAATTCTTACCTGATCTTATTAACAGTTCCACGATATTTGGATCACCTTTAAGAATAGCCAAATCCAAAGGGCTCGGTTTTCCCAAGTCGAAATCTTCGTCATAGTTCAATTTAGCGCCCTGTTTAATAATCAAATTTATTATGTCAAAGTTTCCTGAAAGAACTGCGTAATGAAGCACTGTTCTGTAATCATGTCTTTGATCAGCAATAGCGTTTACGTTAGCACCATGTTTAAGAAGAAGCAAGACCGCTTCCATATTCTAGAATAATTATTACTGATTAATTATTGTATTTTCTCGAATCAAAATACTAACATTAGGTTGTCTAACGGCTTTCATGAGAGGAGTAAGTCCTGAGCGATCCCTGCTATCGGGATTTGCGCCAAAAGTAAGTAGAAGTTCCAAAAATTCCAAATCGCTTACCAAATTAATTTCGGAACCGAAAAAGTAACGTTTATTAGGGTCAGCACCATGTTCTAGAATTCATATAATTTTATTTGTACTTTTTAACCTATGTCTCTTTTACCTAGTAATAGTCTAGCGATATCCTTATGTTTATTTCTAATGGCCAGTCTCAAGGGTTCATCACAATGCGTCGTTTTGGGAAATTCTTCTGACGTATCCGGACGATAGTCCACTTTGGCTCCGGATTTTAGTAGAAGACGAACAAATTGGGTATAACTTAAAAAAAGAAAAATATCAATAAGATTAGTTGCTCTCGAAATTTCTATAAAATAAAAGTAGGTAATTAGAGTAGCATAATCATTTCCATTAGTGCACCAGTGATGTAATGAAATTATTAACTAACTTACAAAATATCCTCTATCACTTCGATTTCGGTAGTGCCAAAAATTCGAGTGTCTAGAGTTATTGGGCACCTTTTTGGGATCAAAATCAAACCAAGTAATGATTGTTGTTTCTGAACAGTCGCCAATAAAAGGTTTCAAATTACATGCGATTTATGTCACCATCACAAGACACGTCGAACTGACAAAGCCTTATTCCTTATCTAATTTCAATTTCCTTAGGAATGGTGAGTTATGCTAATTTGAATTTAAAAACGGATTCGGTCGCCTCAAGTAATAAACTCGTCTAATTACGAGTTATACTTATTAGGCCAATCTTTCTCTATATTTCAATAATTAAGCAATATCACAAGTGTTATCATTCAACTTGACGTCGTCAAAAGTTTTCACTGTTTTTAATTCGAAACCAACTTAAATCAAACGGTCATGTATAATGTTACATAAATGCACTAGAGCCTGTTTTTGCTCCTACTACTGCCATTGAAGAAAATTTAAATGCCTAGAAACAATAAGCACATGTATAACTTAAAATGTGTTTCATAGTCAAATAAGTTGTGAATTATAGAAAGGATTTCGTATGAATAATTGAAAATTAATTTAGTGCATGTGTGTGAAGTTTCTCTAGAAAATTACTATTTTGTATTCTCCTGTTCATTTTTCATGTATTTATTTGACTTACCCGTGTTCAGCACTCAAGTGCAAAGGACTATAGCCGCACTCGTCCGTAGCGTTCATGTCACTGCCTCTTGTTAGCAATAACTGAGCTGCTTCGTAGTATTTTTGCCATACCGCATAGTGCAATGGCATCAATCCTTGAGTTACTGGTTCATTTACCTAGAGAAAAAACTGTAGTAAAGCATATGCACCAAGGGGCAAAAGTTTACTGTAAAAATAAATTTTACAGATTACTGTAGATTTTTGATTAATAAATGGTAATTTGGAAAAACCTTGAGATGGTCTAGGTATCACTATTTTATCTACCAATAAGAATAAAAAAATACAGAGTTAAAGAAAATAAGATCGAGTACTCACAGAAGTCCTAATTATGACGCTAAAAATAGGTACTCAGAGAAAGATTATCTTGATCTACAACTCATAGAATTTTAGTTTCGCTTTATCGTTAGGTACCTGCATACTTTCTAGAATAAAAATATTGTAAATGAAAAAACACATGTCAAGTTTTTGTAAACTATCAATAATTTTTGAGTTTAAGCCAGGTCCTTTCTTTTTGTTTGGTAACTTCAACCTTCAACCTTGCCCTTTATAAGCTTTTGTTATTGTTGATATTTTTGAATTCTTGCACCCTGTACCATTAGACTGTTTTTTACCTGTAGTGCGTATCTAATTTGTATCTCACTTTAGTTCATAAAAATATATTCGGTCAACTAAATCTTGTTTAAAGTCCCTAGTTTTGATTTTACGAAAATATAGAGGAAACTAGTCCCAACAAGAACCAAAACTTCGTGAAAGCTAACAGAAGTGCCAAAATTTAAATTCCTTAATCTAATCTATATAATTTAAAACATAAATAAGTTAAAAAAACATTTTTGATCAGATTTTATTTATAATCAACGGTTTCATTAATACTGTATAATTTGCGTGCGAAAAATTTCCAGTGGCTATTTTTGAAATTCGAGTGCGTTCAGCGTTTATTTTTGATGTTCTGCCATTAATTTTTATTAGCTACATTTCCTGAATATTTCAAAATAAAAATGTAATAAATTTTTTATTTCTCTGAATTAAATAAATTTTCTCTAAGCTATTTGTAGGTATACACCGTGATTGTGGCATCCCGTGCATTAGAATTCAATTGGATTGCAGGTGGATTAATAGAGAGACCATTTAATCTACCTGCAAGTTAATGCACGAGCTACGTAAATCACCCTGTGTAGGTACTTACTTTGGCTCCACAAGCTAATAAGATCCTTATTTCGTCCAATGGCACCATACGGATAATGGAATCGGCTAATTCCCTTTGTAGGGGATTTGCTATGCATTCTGTAGGCATATTCTGGAAAACAAATTAGGAATTGTTATTTTTCAAGTTAGGAAAGCTTAAAACTTACTTCTGTGATTGGAACATTTTGTTTCATCGAAAAAAAGACACCTAAAGTTAAATTGTATGAAATGACTGACGTTTACGTCCTCAAAAGACTTAAATATGAGATATTGGGTGGTATGAATAAAAACGAAGTACGTGCTACTACTACAAGTATTAGTATATTCTTCGCAGTATTTACTTGACAATGAAGCATTTACTAATTTCCGGTAGTTTCGAAATGTAGTATCTACTTCGTTTTGGAGTAAGTACTGCGTAGAACATACTAATTCTTGTAGTAGTAGCAAGTACTTCGTTTTTATTCATGCCACCCATTATCTAAATACTCAAGATTTGAAATTTTACCAAGAGTTTGGCCGATTATTTAACATTGGTTCATGAAAATGTACAATTATCTGGATGGCAAAAATGAGTAAAACACGCTCAACTACTACAAATTTAGAAGCAAGTGACGGAAGGCAATAATAAACAATAAGGTAGGAAAAACTTAAATGATCACAAGACGAAATAGGCAATGAGCACCTCGCACCTCAACATTAATTGAAGAAAATAAACCCTGGACGCTAAATGAAATAATACTAGCACAAAAGAACTGGAAACAACAATAGAGTGCCTATATTAAAACACACTTAGGTACGGTTAGGTACCTATACAAAGAGAACTTAGAAAAGAAAAAAGAAAGGGGGGCAAAGGGCTGCGCAGAGACTTAGATTATGCCATTAAAAAAAAAGTAATATATCTCGTTTGAGAGAGGTCTAATTTCGTCGGACACGTCGGTAAATACTTAAGTCGTATGAAAAAGGTATAGCACAATGCTTTTACTCTACCTCCGTCTTTTTTTGCTGCATTAAATATAATATGTATATTTATCTCAAAAAACTTAAGCAAAAGCATAATAATGCTCGTGTTTTAGTTTTATGCATCATATGACCGAATGGCTCGAACGAAAAAAATGTTTCAAACATTATTTTTGATAGACTATAAAAAGCCCTGACCTTGCCGTATGTTCCAAAATTAGAATCGTTTCACAGATTTAGCAGATTTCCAGAAGGCCAGCGTTTCGAACAGCTGATATAAATGTTTGCCAACAAAACCAGAAAGGATGAAAATAAATCGACCAAAAGGTGAACACTAAACGGCAATTTGTCGGCTTTGTACCCACAACGCAATAATTTCCTTTGTCTCGTTTAATTTTTTGGTATTTGGCTGATATTTCAGAAATTTTCCTTTGTGCTAATGGCAATCCAAAGGTTTTTTCATTGGTTGGACGACATATGGAAATAATAAGCCGTCTGTTAATTTGGCTATACCTACATTAGAAAGTGTTACGTTTTTTTTAGCATCTTAAAAGTTCAACGTACGCCTAATGAGATTTTCGCACTGATCTGGATTTCCGCATTTTTCGGACAAATATTTTTTCCTGATAAATGACTCTAGAGCTCCAAACACGAAAAAAGTTAAAAGAAGCAAGGATAATTTTTTTGATTTAGGTACCTACCCTAATTTATTTTGTTCTGGTCGGTATTGATTTGGTGTCCCAGTGGACATGCGGAAGAAAAATGGAAAGAAATTATTGTTAAAAAATTATATTGAAAGCCAAAATGATGAGTTTTGAAAACTACTTTGGATTAAAACATGAAAATCGCTCAAACGCATTTCAGCTTACCACGAGTACCACGTAGTACTGACAGTGACTAAAACATAAAAGACACATTTTAACAATAAATTGGCATAAATATTACTTATTTGGAATGCTACACTATAACAGATATCACTTTATTATGTATGATGGCACTAGATTTAGAGTTATTAGCTTTGTTTTTCCAAGTTCTCCCGCGATTGCAATATTTTTGCACAATCTTTCCTCAAAACTGTAGATCACTGATCTTCCATCCACCTGATTTCATATGTGGAACGTAAAAATAGAATTTTTGGCAAATGATTAGTTGTGACGGAGGTTTGTGTATACGAATAAAATAAAAACAATAACACATTTAGACCATGTGTTGTGTATAGTGATTGTTGTTTCTCTTTTGGGATTATTAACTGATCAAAACATCAACACAATGTTGCTTGTTTGAAAAGTATAAAGGCAACAAATGTGTTTTTTTGCGTTGTAACTAAAGTGCAATTTCAACTCATGTTCATTCAAGCCACTAATTTCTCGGTTCTTTTGTCTTATGTATGTGTAGACTTGAGGTACCTACTTCTACTATTTTATCACAAATAGTACTGGAATGGTAAAAGAGCAACGTACCAAAAATAATCAACGATTAACTAGGAAAACTCAAACTTTCTCAAAGAGATGTCTTATTATCTACCCTATTTTTGCTACACATCATAAATGGTCTTCCAGCTTTAACCACAAATCCAATATAGTCGAGCAGGCAAGTACTTTCTGCTAGAAAGTATTCCGAAATTAATGATATTTTGGCATGTCATTTGTGGGTAGTCTGTCTGTGGCTCGGGGGGAGTCGAAAAACCACGAATTTTCCGGACTTTTCCAGTTTTTTGCTTATAACTTCTTAGCAAAGTTGAAGAACTTCATATTTCCTTTAAAATTTCACTGGCCAAAAGTATTCGATCCAATATAGTTAATGAGATATAGTGGTTCAAAAATTCAAGTTATTTCTAAGATTATCAAATATAGTATAGAATTGCAGGTTTTTGCCCTATAACTTTGGAAAACAGAAACTGACTATGAGTGCAGCAAAGATCGTCGGTATCGATCTACTGCTTTGGTGCTTTGGTAACTCTTGCCAACAGGATACCCATCAAAAACCACTATAGCATTGCTCTCGAAGTTTCTTCATATATAATTCACGTAATGCTCTGGCACACCAATTCAAATGCCGTATCTCTTGATTTGCTCCACACAACCTTATGTTGCTGCCGAAGTCTACTCGTTTTTGTATAGGAGTGAATGCTGCATACAACACTGACTTTGTGCCCTTGTGCATAACTGCCTCTGTGAAGAGAGAGAGGGACATCGGGAAGGTGGCCTAGCTCGTATTTCAACAAGTTTCTAAGGTCATCATCTAATTGTTTAATTATGCGAATCCGTTGACAGAGAGTGAGAGGGTCTATTGTGAACTTTTTGTCTTTAATTTTCACACAACAAGAAACAGATGCTAGAGAAACAACCTTATCTTTCCGCTTCAATTTCATGTTTTGAAAATTCTCTTTTCCAAATAGGACTTCAAACAGGTGATACCAATAGTTCGAGCTAAATGGCAGTTCACAACTTCAGGAGCAACAGCTCCTGTGCCTAGTGAGAATATCTCTTTTGTATCCAGAAAAGGTGAATGGTCGGTAGATAGGCGAGTTCAGCACGGATGACGTCAAAATCTAAATAAAAAAAGGCCTATTTTCCTAAAATAATTTTTAAAATAGGATACAATAAAAAAAAATTCAGGGGCACAGTAGATTGTGACTGAACGTGAAAGAGACGAGGATAAAAGATGTTTATCCCATGCTTGGTTTGAATTATGTTCGGACGGGTAGAAATTTTTGACAAGCTGAGATTTTTTTTGTATCTTTGAACCACTGTATCTCGGTTACTATTGCGTTGAAGAATACTTTTACCAGTTAAATTTGAAGGAAATTTAATTTTCTTCAACTTTATAAATAGGCGCATTCCGCTAAAAACGCATGGTTTAGAAGTTGGGTCATTGAGGTCGAAAACTTAGATTCTACTCCACAGACTATCCACAAAAGATATGTCAAAATATTCGGTATACTCTCCAGCTACCCCCTTTATTTATTACTTGCCTGATGGCCTAATATAGGTACGTCGACAACATTTATTCATCATCATGTCCACTCGTGATAAGCTTCCGCCACATATCTTTCCAATGTTAGAGTACCACTCAATATGGAGATTGGGGACCTGAATATCATCCCTAAGAGAAATTGACGTTGGCTTTCAACCGTCTCAGAGCTACTTTTTCATTTTCTACTCTTCATTAAGAGGCGGTTCATCCATTTTATAGTGCAGATTTATATAGATGAAACTTGATGAAACATGAACTTTCGTTCTTGCAACAAGTCTCTTATCTATAGAATTCTCTGCCGAGAAAACTTTTCTCTGATAACTTCAAGTTCTAGTTCTTCAAGAAAACGATTAGTCATTAATCAACATAGAAACAGTCAAACTTGAGATTTTTATATTGGAATAAAAATCCTGAATAAATTTCCGACCTAAATATCAAGTAGGTAATTTTGAAGAGCAATTGACTGGAAAAAACTTGAAATGATGAGTATTTAAATAGACCTATGATACCACAAACTAATCGATACAGAAAAGCATGCTGAAAATTAGTATTAAGAATGATTTTTGAATTACTCTTTGTTCTTGTGTTTGAACAACCTGCCCAGTTTTGGAAAAATTTGAGGTCATATTTGAACCATATGTATCGATTAAAATTTCACAAACAAAGGCCTTTATTGTTGCAAGAATAACTAAGCCTCATTAGTTAAGAGTTAAGCTATAAATAACTGAAACTATAGTGCAATTATATCACAACGAACAGAAAATAGTTTAATTAATTTTTGGCATTTAGCACTCGAGTGATTCACATTTGTTTTAGTGTGGTGTAACGATGATCTTAAAATAAAGATATTATCTTTTGATCACTATCAATTATCTTTTGAAGAAACAAAGCAGTTTAAAATTAGAATGTAAATAGGAATAAAGAAAAATTTGATAAAAATTGTGTTTTACCTTGTTTTTTCTGAATACTTTTACACCATCAAAAATCACAACAATCCCTCTAAATAATTGTTTTCTTCTTTACGAAAAAAAATACACTGTACCAAACAACGCAATATCTTAAACTGAAAAATCACTCGCTGGCACTTTTCGCGATTCGGGTCTACGTCAAACTACGTTCAAACATTACAAAGTGTCTATTTATACCCGATTTCCACGAGTGAAAATTGTCTTTATTGCTATAGGGAGTGAACCCACAGTTGCTATCATAATTTTTTTTAAAACAAATTTTTGCTCTTTTAAGTTCTTAGAACAGGTAATTAGTGACAGGTGTGGGTTTTTTGTCTGAAATATTCATGGACTCACACTTGGGAAAGGCAGCAAATTGATATTTTTATTCAGCATTATGATCGATTTGCAGCAGAAAAAGCTGAAAAATGAAATGTGTGTGTTTTTACTTGATTTGTGGCTTTTCTTATGGTCTTTGAAGATTCATTGTTAGTTGTTAGTGTGGTTATTTTACAATTTTTATATTGTCAGTAGGTACTTTCTTCTGAATTTGCGCGAAAAATTAATTTTTCATACAGTTGGACTAGAAGAGCCAGTTGAGAATGCTTCGGAGATGAACGGCAAGCATTCCAGAACCAAAACCGCAATAATTCAAGATAATTAGAAGAAATGTCCTGATTCCAACCCAAGACACATAAAATTCGATTCCGAGGATTTTGAGTAGGAACCAACTGATGCAGCTTTGAGGACCACCTACACCTGCGACTATGATTTAATTGCAATCTCCAAAACTTGGTTAAATAGCTCCTTCTACAGTAGTAAGGTTTCTTCGTCAGACACCGTTTTTAGAAGATACAGAAACGAGCCAGAATTAGAATGCATGCGAGATAGGGAATGGTGTAGATCGGCTTTGCCGCCTCCTTCATCGCTACTCTCTTTCACAAGAATTGCGATGTTTCGATACAGTTCGTCATGAATGATCACAAACGTATCATAGGACAGTAGCGCAGCCAGAAATTTTGTCTGAGGGGGGGAAGGCATGCAGAAAAAATTATAAGAAAAAACACAGAGACACAATATCCTTTAAACTTTTTCTCTGATATGAGCAGTTTCCAGCTTTCGTCTACTTCATTATTTTTCTAGTTTTCTCTAGGTGAGTTCCAAAATCCAATCTATGAGCATCCGGATGAAAATTTTGACAGTTTTGACAGTTATCACGTGTTAAATTCATTTCAAATCAATTTAAAATCACGTTGGTACGCAAGGTCTGAAGCTTTGGGGGGGGGCGGGCCCCCTGCCCCCCCCCCCCTGGCTGCGCCACTGTCATAGGATGTGTATTGTGTATTATATATATGTCTCTCAACTCTGGAGCCAAAATCTTATCAATTAATGTTCAACACATGCGGTACCTAATCTATGGAAATCGAACATTTCTTATATGTGGGATTTCAGGTAATCGCTGACTACATGGATCTACGAGGACGGTTCATTGTTTCGAGGATTTCAATCGCAGACTGCCAATGCCTTGATCGGTAGGCGACGAGTACCATTCACTTCCTAAGTTACAAGTACCTCAATCATACCTACACATATTTCTCATGGATGGATTCTCGACCTAATTTTCGCCGACGTGGACATTTTTTATTGATATTTTTTTGGACATTTCCTATGCTCCTCTGTTAAGTTCCTGTGGATAGATTCCATTCCACTATAGATCCCGCATTCACCTTTTCACCAACAAAGATTTTTAGAAACGCCAATCAGTTAACAGAGTTATTTTTTAAACAAGTCTATTAGCCTTGGCAGTCGTTGACGTTGCTTGGTCCAAATTCTACGAGGTTTTCTCTGTGGGAATCAGGCGCTTCTCTCTAAGGAAGATAACAAGGACGTATATAAGGGGGGGGTTTTGGGGGTTCAACCCCCCCCCCCCATTAAACTGAATAATTTTTTTTTTTCTAAGAAAAATAAACGTTTATGGGCGTGGAATCCGATCAAATTTTACGCCTTCGGCGATATCCTCCGGCGACTATGCCACTGCAGGGTTGTCACCTCTCCGGGTTTCACCCGGAGTCTACGGGTTTTCGCATATGGTCTCCGGGCTACGGATTACTAGGTGTTTTCTCCGGGTTAGCAACAGCGCAATCCTGTTTCTCCCGGAAAAAATCTCCGAAACGCACGCGTCGTCGTTATACTTACGGTCTCCCTCAAGGATAATATACACTACTACAGGATTGCTCATCGGCCTTGATTTTTGGAATCAAGGTCATATGGTGTTGCACCGTTGGTGACATCATCAACGGTGTCGTTAACTGTTTGCGCCAGCGGTCGTATTTTAGAATATACATTTATGATGAAAAATATTATTTAATTTTGATTAACATAATAGGCAACGAGGAAGATGCCGACAAGATCTGAATAGGGTTCTTTTAAAATGTTAATTAATGTACTAACACAAGTATGCATAAAGCAAAAGCCAGGGGAATGATAGCCTGTGGTGCAAACACCCTACGTTGAAACGAGAATCGACCCGATTCCTACGTCATAACTGGTACTTTGGCGTGGTGCAGTGGTGGCTTGAGATTTGATCTACACAGGCCTTATGACGATAGGCTATCCTGTGTAGTGTGTAGTATCCTTGGATCTCCCTCTCCAACCGTCTCAACTAACTCAACTAATCCAAACTAACCCACATCAAGCAACATCCGGAGATGCCGGAGGGGACTTGTGTATAGATATATAGTAAAGTGTAATGCATCTGTTATCAGATTTGAAGGATTTTTGTTTCTCTTTTTTTTTTTCAATGAACGTTTTTTTTTTCCCCAATTCAACTTATTTTCAAAGGTGGCGTCCCTATATGCCAGATACATCGTCTGATCTAAAATTGAAACCCTTCCCAGATCACAAGCCGCCACTGCTCTAAACCCCCCCCCCCCCCCCCATGAAAAAGCTACGTCGTTGGAAGATAACTGCAGCAAACTTATATCCCAGGTGGTTGGATTCGCAAATTCATAACCAGAAACATAAACGAGATAAGAAATTCAAAAGTCTGGTCAAACGCGTGTATACGAAGCTTTTTCAGATGCACTCTGCAAGATCGATGAAGGCTCGAACAGAAACGTGTTACCTCGTCCACATCAAAGACATTTGGGTGCACATTGCTCTCCGTAGATATGATGTTGTGGTTGGTTGCGTCTACATTGCCCCAAACTATGCTGTCGAAACATACCCAGGAATTCATGGAGTGTGTTGAAGTACTTCGAAACAGGCATCACAAAGCAGCATTTTTGATAGTTGGGGACTTCAACCTTCTCCATATAGAATGGTGTCTTGACGAATGCTTCCTGGCCCCAGCACAATCGAGAACCTTAGCTGAAGAAACCTTCATTGAGTCAATGCATTACTTGGAGCTGCAACAGGTCAATCATGTTAAAAATTCTTTGGGCAGGATCTTGGACCACATACTAATTGACAATATCGTAACTTACTCAGTTGAACAAAGCAACCATCCTTTGGTTAAGTGCGATGCTTACCATCTAGCGTTCGAGCTCACCTTTGACTACGGTGTGATGGAAAAAGTGAGAGATAACACCGTTCTGAGATCATGGCATTCAATTTTCAATATTTTCATACAGCTGGACTACAACGCTCTCAATTCTAACTTCTCCGATATGGATTGGTCTTTCATCGACGAACCTTGATGAGATAGTGGAAAATTTCTATCGCATTGTTTATAGATAAATTTGTGCTTAAACGAGCCGTCGCAGATAATAGGTTTCTGAAGTGGTATAGTGCTCTACTAAAAAACTTATTACATAGTTCCAAAAACAAGTAATAAGTACTAGAAAAAGTACGAATACTCCAGGAATCCTCACGATTATACGATTTATTCAAACCTGCGAATAGGGGAAGTGAAATATCAAATAGATCTTTGCTATGCCATCTTTATATCGAACATGGAGCATTTACTATCTACAAATATCAAGCACTTTTGGATCTTCGTTAACCCCTTAAAAAAGAACTCGGGCATTCCAGCTACGCTTCAACATAATGGGCAAGTTTTCGCCGACAATCGGGTCATTTCCGATGCTTTTGCCGCCAACTTTAAATCTTGCTACACAGACCAGACTACTAAGGAGCGCCGATCCAGGAAGATTTCAACATACTTACCCTTTGTCTCTCTCTACGCTATCCTCCTATGACTTCTTGGAAAATAATATGGAATCAGAGCTAAAGCAATTGAACAGCTCCAAGGGTCCAGGTCCTGATGGCATTTTCCTTCTGCTGCTTCAAAAATGTTTTTACCAGTCGATCTACAGCAACAAGCGTCGTTTATCAAAACTACCTGTGCTATGTCCATTCACTGGAAGCTACTCACCGAGTCGACGTCGTTTTTACCGATACATCAAAGGCTTTCGATAGGGTCTGTCATCAGCTGCTCCTGTTCCCCATAGGGGTCACACATATGGGTCCAATACTATTCCTCCTGTTCGTCAATGATGTGGCCAGAAAAATTTTTTTGCAATTGAACCTCGAGAAGTGTAAGTCAATGCAATTTTTTAAGAACCGGACTGTCCAGCCTTTTTGCTACACCATCGAAAACCAGATAATTGAACATGTTGGCGTTTACAATGATTTGGGAGTGATCTTTGACATTAATTTGTCTTTTGAGAACCACATTGAAAATATTGTGAACAGAGGGTTTAGGTTAGGATGCTGGGCTTTGTGAAGCGTAACACAAAGCATCTACATGATACCCAGGCGCATCACACTCTTTACAACTGTCTGGTGCGCAGCATCCTTGAATACTGTCTGGTCTCCTTTTTACAGCTGTCACAAACAACGGATTGAAAGAGTTCAGGCAAAATTTGCTAAATACCTCCTGTACAAACATCACTTTCCCTATGAAAACGTCGATCACAGCATTAAGCTCCTTCTGTGTGCCTGCCTGAAATCATTGGAACAAATAAGACGGCGTGATCAACTGTTACTGACGTGTCTTTATAAGCTGGTCCGCGGGATAATAACCTGTAGTCCTCTACTTTCCGAAATCAGTTTTCGTGTGCCAATTCGACAAACCAGGCAAACCCAGCTCTTTTTTGTGGCCATTTATCGAAAAAATTATGGCTGGCGTACATTTGTTGACCGCATGATGAGCTACTATACA